TCACCTTCTCCAACACGCTACCGCAGATTGCCCTCACCTATGAGACGCCACAAGTCTCGTTCTCCAATTCGACGACCTATGTCACCTTCCTCACCAGTACGGAGAATTGATAGGTCATCACCACTTGGTCATCGTAGAATACCCTCACCAGTGCAACGTAGATCTCCATCAACCTCATTGAGCAAATCCCCTCCATTGCCACAAAGGTCATCTCCTACACATCTCAAGAGATCAAGTCCATCTAGACATAGATCCATTTCACCATATGATCGGAGTTCATCAGAGGAGCGGGAAAACCTCTCAACTGCAAAAAGAAAATCTGCACAACATCAGAGGAGGTCTCTCTCTCAATCTCCCCGGGATAGAACCAGGTAATTCTCTCATGCGCTAAACTGCATCGTGTGATAGTTTTTACTTACTACTTGCATGTGTTTGATGATTGTCTACAATAACTAGACACGATTTCGATCAACAGTGCTGGTAGTTAAGTCTTAGACTAGCCATGTTAGTGGATTGTTGACCAGAACTGCTGAATGGCCAGATTATAGCCATCTACAGAAAAACAAGTCTGCTGCTGAAACTTACTATTGCTTGAATTGATGAATTCTTTTAACCTGATATATGTTGAGAACCTCACATATCAATGCCACAGTGAAGCACCTAAAGGAGAATTAGTTTGCTGGCTTCCAAGCAGGTTTATAATTTCTTCTTAGATTGAAGAAAGGTGTATTAATACATGAAGCACCTAAATAAAAACTTACTGAACTTGATGCTGCAGCTTAATTCGACCTCTCTATTAACCCATCTGAGGTTGGTCTGGTGGTCAAGGGCAAGACCTCTAGATTTCCTTGAAGTTATAAATACCAAACACTAGTGGTCACTCCATAGGATATTAATATTTTAAAGGCAAACTATAGTTGTCGCTCCAGAACACTATGAATGCTACATACGCATTCTTCCTTCTTGTTGGGGTCATAGTGGCGTTTTTTTTTTTTTGGTAGGGGAGTTTCTGAGCATTTTGATCCTGTTCTTTCGAGATGCTAGTTTGCTAGTTCAATTTGGGATTGTTTGTAGGAGTCTTTTGATGTTTGTTTGGCTTGTAGCAGTGACTGTTGTTTGAGGAAGTTTTATTTCATCCGCCATTTGTTTTAATAAGGGTTGATTCTTTGGTAGTCAAGTCTTTTTGTGGTTCTAGTCATCATGGGCTGGTCTAGTGGTCAATAAGGACCAATGTAAATAGTAAAGGGCTTAAAGGGAATGAGTTCAAACCATGGTGGTTACCTACTTAGGATTTAATAGCTTACGAGTTACCTTGACAACCAAATGTAGTAGGGTTAGGCGGTTATCTCGTGAGATTAGTCGASGTGCACGCAAGTTAGTCCGGATACTAACGGATATAAAAAGTCTTTTTGTGGTCCTTTGGAGCTGACTAGAGAGAATTGGGAGAATGCTGTGAGGGATTGAGAGATGTTAGGGAGAGTTTGATCTCTTGTAGTTTTTGATGACTCTCTTTGGGGGTTTATTTCTAAGCATTTTTGAAAGTATCATTTAGGCCTTATTCTTTTTTGCTAGAGGGGACCCTTCTTYTATACTTAGGTTAGCTTGTTTTGCTAGTTTTGTTGGGCTGTCCGTCTTTTAGCCTCTTTTTTTCTTTATTTTTCTCAAGGAAAGCTCATTTTTTTATTAAAAGAATATCCTAAAGTTTTCCATTGTATTGTAATGTAAGATCATAYGATTTTCCAGTGGGATTAATTTGCAGATATAGCTTCCTTTATACTGATGTCTTTCAGATGATAAATATTGTTCATGGTTGTTCACATCTTAAAACTGTGATACAGAGATGTTCAGACATCTCCAGTGTCCCAACAACCTTCTAGATCTATGAGGTCGCCACAAGGAGATGCTAGGGAACGGAATAATTCCAATAACAGAGCTCGTTTGCCATCACCGTCTCTGGAGAAGTCTCCAGCACTATCTGATTCTCCACCAGTTACAAGGAGTGTTAGTGATGATAGGAGGTAATCATTTTTCTGTTTTATGATCCGCCCAAACTTTATCAGTTTGTATGCCTATTGCATCTCCATCTAGATCTAGGTTCTTAGTTTTGCAAGGAAGATGACATGTTAATTATGCAGGAGGTTAAGTTCTCCACGATCAAGGGCAAAGCAACRTCGTCGCGACAATCATTCAACAAGGGCAGGGGAAGAAGAGACCACCTATGCTAGGTATATTTGAGTTTGACTATCTGAAGCTTCATGTGATCTAATCACTTGATTATTAGTGACATGTGGGTTTTCTTTTCTGAATTACTTTTTGATTWTACTCCTTGTAGGGAGGGTGGAAATCTTGAATMTAGGCCTTCACTGAAGAAATCACTGAATTCTACCGTTGTCGGTAAGATGAAAGATTCTCCAGGGGATGTTAAAGTTCCCTCACCTGGAAGGTTAGTTTATATACTTTCTCCTGATACTCTTGGAATTAAGAATGAAATGTTAGGAAGCTTATTTTCCATTACTTGGAAAAGAATATTTCTGATATTTTTAGTCGTTTATATATAAATCACAGGTCTGTTGATTTTTGCAGTGTAAAGCGTCCTCGAAAGGAGGTGCCTCCTAGTCCCRATCAACAAAAATCTTCATCATTACACAAAGAACCTTTACTAGTTGAGGAGCAGCAGCCATCACATTTAAGAGAAGGTATTAAACAAGATGAAAAAAGCTACTTGCGCTCAAGTAAGGCCAAGGAAACTGACTCTTTGAAAGTTGAAAAAGTTGAACATAATAATCGGAGTGAGGCTTCAGATTCTGATTTGGAGGAAGGCTATAAGCGTAAAACTGGGAGTAAGGAGAAGAAAAGGCATAGAAGATCAGACAGACGAGACACTTCTTCGGATTCTGAAGACAGCTATGATACTGAATTGGAGAGGAAGGAGGCGAGGAGGAGGAAGAAGGAGGAGAGGAGGCTGCGGAAGGAGAAGAAGCGCCAAAAACGTGAAGAACGCCGACGCAAAAAGGAAGAACGACGTGCAGAGAAGACAAAAGCAAAGAACCTCAGTGATAGTTACTCAGATGACGGTCGAGTTGCAAAGGACGAGCCTTATCCCAGTGATGGTCCAGATGAGGCCGAGCACAGAAGACTCGAGGTTGAGTTAAGGAAGAAGGCGCTGGAATCGTTCAATGCAAAGAAAGGGACAAGGCCCTGAATCTATTTATTCCGGAACATAATCCTGTGAATCCGTTTCGGTAAGTATCTTTCTCAAATTTCATAATAGTCTGTACCAAACACATCCATTTCACATGAGAGGTACTTTGTTCAATCTGTAACTTCTCTTCCCTTTACGCCATGCGGCTGATTCGATAAAATGATTATTTCATGGATGTTCTTTAGAATGCAAACWCTGCACAGATCTTGCTATTAGAATCAGTAATGTTTCCATCGGATGGAACAGCACAGTGGCCTCCTTTGAGCTTTACTTGAGCTTGTTTATGTCTCTGTACTTGTTTTGGATTTCTTTTAGGACAGCCCTACCTTGTAAGGCAGATCATCCATAAACATTGCATGATCCATCAACTACTACTTAGAAATGTTTAAAGTAGTTTAATTTCTATTTTGGTCATTACTTTTTATCTTTCGTTCATTTTGGTTTGTGTTAATGTTCATTTAGTCTTTTATGGGTCCGATTGTTAATGTTAATATTTCTTATTTTTAATAAAGAAAAATGAATTCTATGGYCCAAAATATTTATGAATTAAGTATGATAAAATAATTTTATTTATTTATTTATGTTTTGGAACAAGAAATGAGAAACTTGTTTTGGTTTGGTTGTTTTCAAAATTTTTATACAATTTTGAGAATCCTTTCAAAAAATGAGAAATAAGAAATATAATTAGTTATAAAATGCTTAGATTTTTTAAAAATATTGAAAGCGAGAAGCAAGAAACATAAACGTTATCATATTTTTTCCTATCATTTTGGTTTTTATTTGAAAATTTCTAACATAAATTTTATATAGAATAGAAACTCTTTAATACAAATTTGAAGTTATATTTCAAAAAATTTAATGATAAAACTTTGATAAAAAAATGAATTCTTTTATTACATGAATCCAATTTTCATTTCATCGGGTAAAAACTATCTTTTTCTCAACAATGTCTTAAAAAAGAAATTCACCACTCACGGGCAAAAGAAAGTACATGGATTAAATGAACTTTTAATATTACAATAGATAAATTATCAAAATTTGAAAGTACATGGATTAAGTGAACTTTTAATATTACAATAGATAAATTATCAAAATTTGTTAAGGTAATTGGAACTAATTGATCGATATTTTAAGTTTTACTTAGGATTGCTACATGGGTATTAAACTTCTATTGATACGTTATAAGGAGTAAAACAAAATTTTATTTTTTTGAAAATGGGTAAAACAAAATTTTTATTGTACCATAAAAAAGTCTAACAAAAATATGAAAAATATAGTTAAAATATCATACAAAATATTAATAATAAGGATTTTTAACTTGACTAATATGTAAATTAATTTTTTAATTTGTAATGTTTTCTTCCAAACTATCCATCAATATTTACATTTTATTAATATTTTAAATAATATTTCTATAAAATTGAGACCCAATTTTTTCGATATCCATATTTAAAACCTTGGATTTAATTAATTAAATCTAATAATGTAATTAAATTAATTATATTTTAGAATATTACAGAATAAATATTGGTGAAGAGTCAAACTTATGTCTTTTTGGAAGTAGTAATGTCTTAACCACTTAGATAGACTCGGGACAATTAAATATATTTGATTAAATTGAACCAATAATTTTAATTAATTAAAGAGGGATTTCGTCAAATACTTTTTTTTTTTTTGGTTTGAGAAAATTTAGTCAAGTAGAATTATTGCATAGCCGAACAAATCTGCACATCCACTATTATCAAGTTGTGGTCGGAATCAACCTAAACGAGGGAATCAACCTGACTGGATATGTTTATTCTATTTATTGGATATTTTTTCAATTTAATCTCTTATATTTTAATATTTTTTAATTAACGCTATTGTAATTATAAGCTTATATGGGATAAAATTTGGTAAAATTGACAAAAAATTAGAGGATAAATTAGACTATCGGTTGGGAACATGTCACATGGACCAAGAATTGAGACTCACTATCGACTCAAGGCACCGACCTGCCGAGCTTGATGCCTATGAGTACTTAAAGCCTCAAGAAGGCAAAGAGTTTTTAGCTCATCTTGTCCGAGCTAAGAATCCAATAGCTTATCATACAGTTGGAAGTAGTTCAACAACCTTAGTAACATAGTAATGGTTGTCAAAATAAATAGAAAGATTCCTACGTGAGCCCTAGAACGTCATTGCTCTACTCAGTCAGGGATACAATTCTGTCTAAAACCAATCTATAGATTCAGACTTTTGGACTGACTTAATCGTTGAAATGTTTGTTCTTTACGCGAAGGTCTTCCTGTCCAGCTCGCCAGTAAGCTAGCACGGATCTCACCTCATGAAATTTGACACTTAAACAAGTAAAAATTTGCCAACTGTTTAGAAATTTAGAAAAAAGATAATTAAAAACTTTATTTCATAAATAGTTTGATTTTCTCTTCTAAATTTTTAATAAATCACTAAAAGGGGCCGTTTGTTTTTTGGGAATGTAGATGCCTCGAATCTCATATGTCTTGAATTTTAGATATCCGAAATTTTAGATAGTCACATTTGTTTTGTAGGAAAATTTATAAGGATATCTGAGAATATTTTAATAGTCACGCTTGTTTTGCAGGATTTATTTGTGAGAATATTGTAAATTTATGTAATGTTTCAAAAATGCCCTTACCGGTCATCATTTAATTTATATGTTAAATTTAATATTATTTGAATTCTTATACAAATTTTACTTTTATTAATTTAATATTATATTTTTATGTAAATTTTGGTTTATGTTTGGTGACTATTGGAAAAGTAAAATAAACGAAAGATTGCACACTAGATTTGAATTAAAAATAAATTTATATATTATACCATTGACTAATGTTTATTTTATATTTAAATGTAGCATATAAAAAAAATTGTATTTAGACTTATCAATGAATTGGTGCATAAATTTATTTTTAAAATAAATGAGAAATAAATATTATTGATGAAAAAAATTATAGAACAAAAATGACGAGGGACAAAATTGTCAAAAGAAGATGCCTCAACATGGAAATYTTAAAAACTCATGTTACAGGAGGACATCTAAAATTGGTCAGATGCCTCCAATATAGGCATTCTAGGATGTCCGGGCATAATGCACAGCTATTCAACATTCCTATTAAACAAACAGGGGTATCTTGATGCCCATCCCATGGGAATTTCCCACAAAACAAACGGCCTAAAGGACTGTTTGTTTCGTGGGAATCTAAGATACCCACGACATAGAGTACATCTAGATTTCCACATTTATTTTTTATAGAAATATACATACATACATATATACATACATACATACATATATACATACATACATATATATATATATACATACATATACATATACATCTATACCCAAATATCAATATGGGGGAGACACATCCTAAGGAGTTTTCCATGCCTCTTTAACCATAGGTTTCCAAGATTTCCAGGTTGAAGGTATTCTCTCTACATTTTTGTCATTCATTCTTTTCTGATATATTTTCTTTCATCAATTTTATTTATTTTTTTAAAATTTTATAATTAGAATAAATTGATTCAGTTTCAATAAAAGAATTTCTATGCAATTTAAGTATATTTATATATTATATTTACATATCAAAATAAATTTTATTTAAATTATAAAATATCTCTATGGATTCTCTTGAAATTGATATTAATTATATAGGTAAAATAAATTTATTAGAAACCAATATTATTCCCCCTTAATTTTTTTGATTTTATAATGTAAAAATACAATCGAATAATAATGTCGTCAATTATAGAGTTTTTTGTAAGGAAAAAGTTCAAGTTCAAGTTAAAACTAAAATTAATGGTTAATACAAAATATATAAAAATATCAAATTAACATAAATTAATGTGTTCTACGGAATAACATTTAAATGTAATATAAACTAAATTGATAAAAAATCTAATAGATTAATAAAGTCATAACAGTCCATTTATAAATTACATAAATTACATGAATATTGGTAAGATTTTTTTTAACAAATATATGATTTTTGGATAATTCCAGGTACAAATCTAACAAAAACAAACATAGATATTCAAATATTCGAAGACAATCATTATAAAACTTTACATTTACGTTAGGTGTTTATGCAGGAATTTGCACAACGGTTCTTCACGAATCGAGCTCGAATCCGGTCTCCGGTTCCGACCTGAACACTAGAGTGGACCTGCACAAGAGGGTAAGCACTCCGACGCTCAAGTCAGTATAGATCGGACTCCTTATTTAGTTCGAGGCGAGATTCGATACCTGAGCGTGAAATGAAGCCCTCTATTTATAGGTGACGGATCCGATAGCACACACGACCGGCGGTTACATGTCTTTTCTCATATCGGACCTGTCGGGTTCCGAGCAGGTCGGTCCCTGGTCAGATCGAACTTTGGTGCCCACACTTAGTCTTTTCTAACGGGCAAACCCGGTCTCCTCGGCGAGGCCGAGGTGGACCTAAGCAATCCTTTTTTATCTAATTTCTTCAAACACTAATAGAGGTCCTCCACGTGTCTTGGGTATGTTTACCCCCAAACGTTGGCCCCCTCTCTGTCAGGTTCGATCTCGACCTAGCAGAGAAGTTTATTCGAATCTATTTTCGACACGTGGCGACTTTTCATTTGTAGAGGGAATATGATCGTTGCGGAATACGTTTCGACCTGCCAGGTTGTCGGAGCACTCAAGCGTTTCGCCGTTGCGTATCCCGAGAAGATCCCAGCCGCTCGTTGATTACACGTGTACGGCGTGGAGGTTTTTCCGATCAGCTATAAATAGTCCCGAAACTTCAGGTCAAACCTTACGTTTCTTGAATTTCTGGAGTTCGATCTGAAACCAGCTCGAACCCTTTCTCTAGGTCAGTCACTTCTCCTTGCTCTTACTCTTCTTTCAAACATGGTAGTTTTCTTATCTTCCCCCTCCAGTAGCGATAGCCTAGGTAGTGTAGGTCGGACGATAAGTAGTTCGCCCCCCAAACCAAGTGATTCTGGGGAGGTCTTAGCTCGTAGGTTAGAGTCCGAGCTTGAAGAAATAGAGAACTTTAGGTTCTCNCACGACCGGCGGTTACATGTTCTTTCCCATATCGGACCTGTTGGGTTCCGAGTAGGTCGATCCTCCCTCAGATCGGACTTCGGCATGTACACAGCCTTTTCCCCATGGGCGAACCTAACCTCTTCGGCAGGTTCGAGGTAGAGCTGGGAGATTTTTAATTCTTAAACACCAATAAGCGTCCTCCACGTGTCTTAGGTAGTTTTACCCCCAAACATTGGCCCCTTCTCTGTTAGGTTCGATCTCGACCTGACAGAGAAGTTCATCCGACTTAATTTTGGACACGTGGCGACTTCCAATTCGTAGAGAGAATATGACCGTTGCGGAAGACGTTTCGATCTGCCAGGCTGTCAGAGTACTCAAGTAT